AAAAAACAGGAAAATCAGGAAGATTTAGTAAATATTAACAGAAATGAAGTGAAAAGCAAACCCACAAATAAAATGAACTCATCATAGAAAATTATGTGCAACAAAGAATGCAGTAGAACCACCAAAAAAAAGAAAGAAAAATAACAACAATCAATTCAAACCTATTGATAATTACACTGAAATGTAAATGGATTAAATGTACCAGTCAAGAGACATAAAGAACAGAATGGATTAATAGAAGAAAGAAGAAGAAGAGGAAAAATAGGATTCTTCAATATGCAGTCAAAAAGATGGAGGTAGCCTAAAGGTCCATCAACAGAAGAACAGCTAAACAAAATTTAGTACATACACACAATGGAATATTCTTCAAAACATTAAAGAATGATGGTGAATCTCACAACATGGTTGAACCTGAAGGACATCATGCTGAGTGAAATTAGTCAATCACAAAAGAACAAATACTGTATGAGATCAATGTTGTAAAAAGTTAAGAAAAAGTTTTCTTGATAAAAGAAACAATCTATGATGGTTATGAAAGGTAGAGGAAAAAATATTCATGGGCTAGAGTGTAGACAGACACCATGTTAACATGGAGTGACAGGGCAGGCAATATACAACAAAAGGGAAGTTAGCAGAGAAAAGATGAAGGTCTTGGCAGACAATGGGAGGAAAGCAATAGTTAAAGAGAATAAAGGTAAATAAACACTATTAACTGTGGGAACATGGAGGTGATGGCAATCATAGTAATGAAGCAAACTACATGATTTCTCTACTGTAAAACTGATGATCTTGCTCTGTAAACATTCACTCAATTCACATTAAGAAGTTATAAAAAAGAAAGAAAATGTTTTACTCCCATGCAAGGTAGAGGGTTGATAGGGACTTATTATATTATATTTAAAATAGATAATCATCAATATGTTAAAAATGGATCATACATAGACCAGTGATAAGAGTATGTCAACACCAACACTAATCCAGTTCTATAAAACTTGAAGCAAAATCAAGTCCATATATTAGGAAAGACAACAGGCTCCAACTAGAAGAAAATTATCTATCCTTAATGCTATAAGGCATTTTGACATTAGTTCCAGTGCTTTCTGGCCATGGATACAGTAGGGTCAACAAAAATAGAGAGGGGGAATGCAGAAAAAAAGCTGGTGCGGTACTGCTAGAAATGGGCTGGACTTCAAGATCA